GATAAATGTGTTTATTGTGGATGGAATTTGTTATTGGTAAAGATTTAAATGTATATAAGGGAACTCTAATGTTTTAAGTAACTTTCAAATTTGTGTTTTGGAGGGAGTTTATAAAGAATGATGGATAATAACATAAGTATGATATGAAAAGGTCCAGAGTATATTATAATGTATTTAATGATTGGGTTTTTTTTATTATTATTATTAATATTTTTAAGAGAAGATAATTTGTTTAATTGAATGTATCTAGATTTGTTTAGGATTTATATGTTTTTTAAGTTTTTCTTTTAATAGGAGAGAAGATTATGGAGATTGAATGAAAATCTTAGATAAGAAGTCTAAGTTTAAGTATTTAGTTTAAGTATTCAAAGAGTATTTAGTTTTAATGGTATAATGAAGGTTTATATGTTTATTTTTCTGTTCTAGGATAAAGAAAGAGGGAGAGATTAGATTTTATATTGTAGGCATAGATATTCAAAGAAAGTAATGTTTGTGTTTTGGAGGGAGTTTATATAGAATGATGGATAATAATATAAGTATGATACTAGAAAATGTTTAGAGTATAAGTTTTTTTTTTCTTTTTCCGAAAAATTTTAACTAAGCCTGTACTCAGCTCTGGGAAGGTCGGGGGAGGGTTTGGGGAGGTGGGGGAGGGTAAGGGAGGGTGGGGGGGTATGGGGAGGGGATTTGTTTTTGTAAAATTTAAAAAACTTTCAATAAAAAAAAACCATAGGACCGGTCAAGGCTGTATTATTTCTCGCTTGTCAAACAAGATGTCATGTTACATTAGATCATATCTTGCTTCTTTCTTAAGACATTGAGGATCTGTGAATGCCTAACATATTTGGTTAAATTACACTGAAAAGTGAAGTCATACATTCCTGTCTGTCTGTCTGTCTGTCTCTCTATCATCTATCTGTCTGTCTATCTATTATTTATATATCATCTAAATTTATATGCTGCCCATCTTGCTCTGCAAAGCTGCTTCCTAGGCATTTAAATATTATTTAAATATTATGCAATCCATATTAATGTGATGCAGTACTATGCCAAATGCTAGTTTTGATGGGAGGACAATTATTCATTTTTCACACATATTTTTTTTTATTTGTAGATATGGGGCGGGGTAAAAATTCCTCACTATTTGAAGCAGTTCTACAACATAGGATTAACTTTCACTGCCAAATGCTTTTGGAAATGTTCCATTTGATAATTTTTGCTGTGTATTTTCAGCTAATTCTGAGAATGATGCTTTAAAATTGATAGTCTGAGATCAAGCCAAATACAGTTTATTAAAAGACTAGTTGTCTTTTTTGTGTGTGATGACAGATGTATGTGTTTCATTTTGAGTTTTCTAAAATATAATGTTCACCGATTTCAGACAGTAATGAAATAAGAAGCATTTGAGAATATCTTATTTTTCAAGGGAAAATTAATTTTCTTATTTAGGTTCTAGTTTTTTTTAATGTGAGCTGAGTGATCCATTATTATCTTTGAAGATGTTCATCTTTTTGTTGTTTAGATGTCTAGTTAAGTAACATTATCTATCTAAATTGCATGATTATTTCCTGCAGGGATGTTTTTTTTAAAATTGATTATGGGCCATCGTGTTGGCATTCACTCTTAGCAATTACTCTTTCTGGTCTTCAATAGTGCATTCATCAACATTACAACTGAGTGCATCTACCTAGCTTTTGGTTGTCTTCTTTTTTTTCCTTCCACCTTTCCCAGCCTTAAAACATTCTCCAAAAAGCTTGGTCTTTGCATAATGGGTCTGAAGAAGGATAATTTGAGCATGGTCAAGACTCCAGGTTGATCTGTTCAGTGATCCATTTGTTTGTTTTCTTGGCTATCAATGGTGTTCTCAGAAACCTCTCATATCAAAATTCTAAAATGTCAGTACTATTTCTATTCCTGCTTCTTTAAGTCCAACTTTTCCTTCATAGAGCATCACAGGGACTATATTGCTTGCACTGTTGAGATCTTTTGTAGACACATCACAGCTTCTGAATATCTTATGATGTTTGTAGACACATCATAATATCTGAATATCTTTCAGTAGAAAATGTGGAGCTGTCATATATGGGGTGCACAATACAAATGACTTTTTTTCCCCTTGCTACATTCACTAATTTCCTTGAAATTGTCAAGATTATTGGGGCCTTTGATCTAAATTCTATTTTTTAGATCTGCATTCTGCAAGTCTTTGTGGTGCTCTGAGGTCATTAACAGTTTAGCCTACCTTTTACTTTCTCCCATTACCACTTACAATCAAAATTATAGGCATTTTAGGACTGGCTAGCACACGTTACAGATTGCGATACATGTCCTGTAAACAACCAGAAGTATGTAATCCAAACGATAGCCTTCATTTACTGTAGGTTTCCAAAAATCTGGAATTAAATTGAGGTAACTTATGTGCCTTGTTTTTTTTTCAAGGAAGGTAAATACACTTGCTTTGACATTTGTTCTTTTCTTCAGCCTACATTTATCAGTGAAATTCAAAGAGTTCTTTGCTGTGTGTCATTCTCTAACAATTTCTGGGAATTTATCTTTCATCATCATCATCATTATTATTATCATCATTATTTCTTCTCCTCCTCCTCCCTTTTAGGAATAGTCTGCTGGACCATTTCTAAGAAAACAATGTACTGATAAAAATTCTGTACAGAATGTAGTGGTAAAATAAAAGTGCTACTTACTCTTTGCTTTTCAGCTTATTTTCCCTTCTTCGCTGAAACACAATGTTGTATGTACCCTACCCCAAATGGCCAGTATGTACATTCTACAAGTGCTTTATCAAATTAATATATTTTAGTTCCCATATACGTGCAGACGAAGGCAATGGTAACAATAAGGTTCTGTGATATTTTCTTTTACTGGCTTAGAATGATTTGGTAATTAAGCACTGAACTAATATTGCAAGACTTTCATGAGATTAAAAAAAACCAGTTTTAGAGATAGGTGACTTTGCACCATTACAATTTAGATAGATTGTAAATCAGGACAATATGAAAAAGGAATAAAGTCAAATCCCATATAAAGAATGTATGTCATAGTAAAGGAGCAAGAATATTTTCATATCTAAGCACCATAGCAAAATCATATTACTTAAAACAAGTTTGGTATTAAACAAATTTGCATATAGGACTGACCATGATTATTAGCCCATGACAATTGAAGGACAGATTTGTAAACAGAATTGTAAGTGATGAATAAGGGGGACAAAAAGCATATTGGGGCTATTGAGTTCATGCCTTCAATGATATCTTGGGTTACACTGAAAACAGTGCTAGTTTAAGGGAGTAAATGGGAAGATTCAGCAGGCTTCTTGTATTTTCCTCCATCAATTTTTTATTTAAGGAGAAAGCAATATGACCCAGACATATTAACAGACATTTATATGTTTTTGTTGTAAATGGTTTTTTACCAATTTATCATCCAGGAATACAGATATGGATCTATGTGTAGCATACTATCCTGAAATTTTGTAGAGCAGGTGTGTCCAACCTTTTGGTTTGCCTGCGCTGCGTTGAGTAAAGGGGAATTGTCTTGGGCCACATATTTTATAATCTAGTTAATGTATATAAATCACAAAATAATGTTAAAAGTTTACAATCTTGTGGGGCTCCGTTGCTAGCTGTCCAAAGCTGCATGTGGGCCACAGGTATCTCTCTCTCTGCAGTTAACTGGCTTGAAATAAATTAAGCTATGTCTTTCAGTTTATCAACCATATTAAACCCAATACATTAGGAAGGCTAATATAGGACTTCTTACAGTAGCTGCTTAATAGGATTGTATTGGGTGCGAAAATTTGAGTTTTCCAAAACTAAGATACAACAACAGAAAGAGTAAGTGATTAGGTCGCTATGGTGCTGAAATACTAGCTGTGATTTGACAGAGAATTGATTATGCTTTGCTCCAGCAGCAATGAGCATCCTTCTCTCTTTTACTTTTCAATTTTTCCTTGAAAAGGGAACCATCTTACCTGAGGAACTGTCTCACCCCAATGGGATTAGCCCATCCCACCCAAGCCAGCAGAAGAGACACGTTGTGGACCCTGTTGATCGAGGAACTTTGGCTGGTGCAGTCCAGGAGAAAAGCCTTTTCTGTTGTGGCTCCCACTCTCTGGAACATCGTGCTCCCCAAGGTGAGATTGGTAACCACCCTTTTGACTTTCTGAAAGGATGTGAAGATATGGCTTTACCAGCTGGCATAAGGCCCCATTGAGGGCATGGCATCCTGGCGGTGGTTAATGGATTAGACATGACCCACCTCTTCCCTGTGTGCACTTGTCCTCTTTCTCTCCATCTTGGTCAATTTAATTTTAACCAAATTTTAAATTTCTGATCTCTATTTATTATCTTAACATTTTATATGGTATTTTTATTGAATGCCTATATTCTAACTAGAGTTGCCTTTGGTGAGATGAATGGCTTTAATTTTTTTTTTTAAAGGAGCAGAGCAAATTTAATTGCTGGAATTAAGATGCACTGAGCAACACCTTATTCATAATACTGGTAGATGACTTCATGTCTCTTAGTCAATTACTTTTTCCAGCTTTTTGCATACTTCTCTCTTTTTGAAGCTCTAAACAATCCCTAGTAAAGTCCTAAAGAATGATTCCACATGAAATAGAACTTCATGATTAAATACTTCAGGTTGCATCCATTTGGACTTAAAACTTGACAAATTAAATGACCAACTAGACACTCCAAATGAAAGTAGGAGGACTGGGGAAGGGTGGTAGTGATGGTGATTGTAGTACATTTTTGAAAATCACTCTGTTAAAACCTCTTTATATTTTACATATATTTTGTATATATTCACATAGTATGTACAAATGGATGCGGAAGTTATATGCTCTTCAGTCTAAAGTTTATTTTAAGATTTTAAAAAGACTGGATTGTTGAGTAACTCACATGAGTTGCTTTTTTCCAACCATTAATGTTGTTATAGGTTGGTGATATCCATCAAGTAAGTACTCCAATGCCATTTGCTATAAGGTAGTTAATTATTTATTATTGGCTAGCTGAAAATAAACTCTTAGATATTTAAATGTTTCAATATTTTAAATTACATTGCCAGTACTAAAACAGACTGAAGTATAATCTTAGCTTTTTTTCCATATTACTCCCATATATCCTACAAAGAGAAAGAGGTATGAGGTAGGTTATGTTAAAAATATTTCAGGAAAAGGAATAAAAGTGAAAGGAATGTCAGCATTAGAAAGAGAAACCAAATACAATCTCCTGTAGCAATACAATTTCAATTAGTTGGAACAAACAGAATGATTGTCCCAAAGATGGTTTTTCTAAAAGGCAACTGGACTTTCTTGGTTTTTCCTTTGAAAACGTTTTGTTTCTCATTCAGGAAGTGAAATGTTTTCAAAGGAAAAGAAACAAGAAAATTCAGCTGCCTTCTGAAAAAAAGCACCTTCGGGGCAACCATGACCTGGATGATTGAGAATCTCCACAGACAAACAGAATAATTCCCGAAAAACAACATGGGACTAACATTTCAAATTTATACTGTACCTTACATATTTACTTGCTCCTGCTGATTCCACCATAAGAAATTTCAAAGTAAAAGTGCCACGTCAACCAAGTATCATTTATTCATTACAGTGGATTACAGTTCCAAACAGATGTGTTTAAAGGCTGGAGATATACATCTGAAAAAATAGTTTTCACAAATATTATACAATTTGTAGAAAATATTTTTTTTTAATACGTACATACAGATTTCACAGAAGCAGCAATGCCAATATGCTCGTATTTAACTGTTCATAGACTCCTTGGTTTGTTATAATCCTGGCTGTTCTTCCAGCAGGTTAGTTTCATCACATCTAAGCGTACCTATAAAGATGTTTTAAAAAATAAAAGTTGGATGATGCATACAAGATGTTTCAGCAGACAGAATTTGCACAATGAAAGCTCTATCTGGATGCATGCAATGACATAATGAAAGCCACATGCCTTCATTTATTTTCATTAAAATCACCACATGGCCATAAATCTAATTTGTATCATAGCGTGGCCATATCATCACATTCACAATTTTGATCACACATGAAGACATTATGAGAAAACTGGAAATTAAGGGGGACCCAAAATTGCATCAAACCGAGTGGGTGAAACAAAGTATGAACATTTGAAAAGCGGGGGTGGGGGTGAGAGTCCCAGTGTGGTCACTTATAGATAGCAAAAGTTTATGTTCTGGGTTCAATGCTAACAAGTTCAGTGCTAACAAGCGATGCTTCTTCTTCCTGACAAGAGATAGCATTAGACGTTTACTTATACATTCTAAAATAGAAATCATTTTACAAGGCAGCAATTACTATGAATAAAAGCTCAAGGCACTGCTTACCTAAAGAACGGATTCTTTAAATCAAGCACATTGCCTGATTTAAAGCCTGTCTCATCCACTATGGCAACAATCTGGATGTCATAACTCTGCCTGTATCATAAATAGGAAATACAGTATAATGTAAGCAATTGGATATGTAATCTTTGTTGAACAATAAATGGGTCGATACTACTGTTTTGATCATTTGATCCTGGAATGAAATTACTGTTTTGTACACCTTCTCCAGAACTTTTTCTCGTAAAAATGTATTATTAAGCAGTACTGAATTTGGGAGTGGGGGTTTTCCAATGCAGATACAAAAGAAACATTTGGGTTCTGTCATGGGTTTATGTCATTGCAAAAACAGAGAGACTGAATCTAGGAATTAATGTAGCTGTGAGGGGTCCTTGGTGCTCTCTGAGCTTGCTTGTTTTCTTGCAGATGTTTCATTACCCAACCTAGGTAACATCATCAGTGACAGCAAACCCCACTCCTTACTAACACTGATGATGTTATCTAGTTTGGTAATGAAATGTCTGCAAGAAAACAAGTTCAGAGAGCACCAAGGACCCCTCATTTCAACCCTGAGCTACAAATATTATCTTTTCTTAGTAATATAGCTGCATTTGTCTTCATAATGCATATTTTGAGACTCTTCAGAAGCAAATTTTTAAAGAATGAGCTCACACATCATTAATGCATAATATTAACAGTAATGCTGTAAATAATTCTAAGCTAAAGCTGAACTATTACAAGTAAGTCCCTTTGGTAGAAGAAGTCCTTGACTTAAAACTGTTTATTTAACTACAATTGAAGTTATGGCAGCTTCAGAAAAAGTGACTTATGATCATCCTTAAAGTTATGATTGGTGCATCACTCCTGCAGTCACGAGATTGGAATTTTAACCATATTTGAAATGGTCTTGGGGGTCTATTCCAAATGGAAAGACAGAATACTACAGCAGATACAGAAAGTCTACACACCCCTGTTAAAAAAGCCAAGCGTTTGAGATGTAAAAAAAAAAATCAGACCAAAATAAATCACTTCAGATTTTTTTCCACCCTTAATATAAGCTATAAAATTTAATTGAAAAACATACTAATCTTTCAGGTGGGAAAAAATAAAAAAAGGACAATAACACTAGTTCTTTGGAAGTGATTATGCCTTCCATGGCAGCCATTTTGTGAATTTGCAAAATCCCTTCTGTCAACCATTGGGCAAGAGCACTCATAGATGTCTTCAGATGTGCCCCACCAGGTCCCCAAAAACTAGAGATTCTGGACATCCATAATGACTAACTTCTAGTGTACTGTATTAATATGTAAGTTCTGATTCTTATTAATAGCTTTTTTTATGGGTCCTGCCAGAGTTTTTTCCAGCTAAACGCATCTGCTGCTACATCATACTGCCCAAAATACATCTCTATTGGTTCTGCCAGTGTTAAAAGTAACAGGAAACAACTAATGTTATTCCACTAAAAATAGTTACTCCACAAAAGACATTATGTGAGAGAGCTGGACAGCATTAACCTGTCATGCACCATGAAAGAAATCTGCTTACCGTTTGTTTGCTACAAATAAGACCTCCCCTGAAAGTGTCTCCCCTTCTTTGGCAAAGAGAGGAGTTTGGAAAAGGCAGCGAACTTGATACCAATGGGTCAGAGGCTCGGTTGGAGCAGTGGAGAGCCAAACTGTTACCCTTAACATGAGAAAATCAATGGGAGAAGAAATGGAAATTAAAGAACATTTATGAATGTTCAAAAAAAAACAAGAGAGAGAGAGAGAGAGAGAGAGAGAGAGAGAGAGAGAGAGAGAGAGAGAGAGAGAGAGAATGAGAATAGCACAGTTAAGGAATCTCCCCTTAATAGAAAAAGTTAAGAATTCCCATAAAGAGTGCTTCCTTCAGCAGAAGATTTATGCTCTATAAATATACCCTAAAATGACAAAACAGTCTTAAGAGTCTGGTAACACATTTAAGGCTAGCCAATTTCATTGGGGTATAAGCTTCTGAAGATGGGAGTTTTTGTCTACAAAAGGTGCAGGGAGATTCCTCCTTTATTTTATTGCCGTGGACTTTGGCGTCTTTCCTTTCCTCCCATCTGTCTTATAAAGTGCTAATTTCTGAGATGACATCCTAGATCCAGTCAGGATGTGATTTGTTTTTGATTCACCACACTGTCTAAAACAGACTCAATTAGTATTTTATTTTTGATTTGGCCAACACAATATTGGAAAGAAGGAAAAAATACATACATTGAGCCAACAAATGCCACATCAAACCAAAATGCCAAGCCATGAATTAATCCAGATTGCATCATTTGAAACACAAAGGGGATTTCCACTCTACAGAAGGAAATAAGAAAAGATTAACAACATAATTAGAAAACCGCAATTAAAAATATGAAAGTGTCATGAAGATCGGCATCCTTAAAAACATTTGATCAGAAATCAAATTAAATGGATTTTCATCCAAGGAATTGTATCTAAAATAATAGCTTTTCTAGATGAAATATTTACTGAGCATATATACTAAATTTAGCACCATGTAGTCCTTAATAAAAAATGACTGCAGCCCAAAGGCAAAGAAAAATAATTTATTTCAATTGAAGCCATCAACACTCACAGGTTCATTTGTACTCTCATTGCAAGACCAAATTCTGTGTTTCAAGAACACATTTTAGAAGCAACATCAGAATGCAATGAGTGGCTGTAACTTTTCTTATCCAAATATCTAAGAATTGCCTAAATTGGATGGCATACAATGAAATGTCAATGCACATGGGTTGGGTCACTTTATACTAAATTACCTTCCACTCTAAATACTATGTTTATTTTAGTAGAGCATTCTTTTTTCTTCTATTCAGTTGTGTCCAATTCTTATAGTGAGTAGCTTGCTAATAAAGTGAAAACTATATCAACAAACAGTGGTTTAAAATGGAATGGTGGGAAATAGAACGATAGACTCTTACCTATGCAAATCTTCCTCTTCTGCTTCTAGAAAACTAACAGTGTATTTCACAGTCCGGGCCATCAAAATTCTAATGTCAAATGTGTCCTGCAAACAAAAATGGAAAATAAAGGACATATATTATGATCTAGAATAGAATAGAATAGATTAGAATAGAATAGAAGAATAGAATAAAAACTTTATCACTTTAAATGTACACTAACTCGGCATACATTAAAATGAAATTTCTTTGCATTAAGCTCTCCAAAAAAAAATACCATTATGCATATTCTCCCCCATACACATATGAAGCAGAGAAACAATCACAGTCTAGTTTGAATGTATGCATATACATGGTGGGGAAAAAAAGAATCCTGCAAATTTACAAGATGGCATAAGGAACAAAGCTGTTACAGAATCTAGTAGTCCTACTATAAATACTTCACAGACTGTGAAGTGGGTGTATGGGGTCTTTAACAATGCTTCGAGCTTTAAGCACATAGCACTTGTAAGCAGTATCCTGAATAATGAGAAGCGAACTTCCTATAATCTTCTCAGCTGTCGTTACTACTCTCTTTATGGACCTTCTATCTGAGGCACTGCTACCACCAAACCAAACAGTGATGCAGTTTGTTCAAACACTCAATCATGCCTCTGTAAAAAATGGCCAAGACAGAAGGAGAAATATCTGCTCTCCTAGGGTTGACAACTAGGTCTAATAACTTTCATATGAAATCCCAATGTTAAATATAAAAATAAATAAATTTATTGAAATCTTGTAAAATCACAGCTTGTGAAACATCAATGTTTTCACATGATCTTTCACGAGGTTTTAAGATAGAATCTCAAGTTTTTATGAGATATTTGCATTTTCATGTGAAATTTTTACAGTGTCTAATGGGATTAGATAACATCTTAGTGGGGCTGTGCACGTGTATAAGAAACAAACTGGCGGTAAACTTAAGAATTCCTTCCTTGTATATATCACCAACCCATATTTGCAATAAAGAAGCCAAAATAAATGTAAAGTCTCCAAGTCAAACTCAATTCCTGTTTACTTCTTTGGCAAATCCATTCTGTTTTCTTAGTAGCATGGAAGTGATTTATTACTGCCAATTTCTATTTATTTATTTATTTATTTTTACAATCCAGTCTAGCCTACAGCTCTGATATTTCCTGCAGATCTCTCATCCAGGTAATAACCCATCTAGGTAATTATCAAGCATGTAAAGCTTTTGGGATTAGTCAAAGTATTCTTGAGGTATAAAAGAGGCAAAAACTATTATTATGTAATAGAAATGGGCACATTGCAGAGAAACAAATGGCAGCTCCAGAGCTCCAGACAATCCTACATAATTCCACTTGATTTTTTTTCCTGTTTTTGGAAAATATAGCGAATAAAGTATATACTTTTTCATAAATTAACTTGTTATGCCTTTCACTTAAAAATCATATTCATAAACATGTTCTACATAAACTCTTCCTATCCAAATAAAATCCTCTAAATTCATTTCAACAATAAATTATATACTTCTCATTACTTTGGATCAGATGATCATAAATTACAACTTTTAAAAAATTAGCAATATTTCTGACTGTTGAATATTTTCAAGCAATCAAATAACCCATACTCTCACTATTGTCTGAGCCTGTGGAAAAAAAATTAACTAAGAAGCAAAGGCGATTAGCAATACGGTTAAAGGTTTTGGAGTTCTTTTATTTATAACATAATTTCCAGACTCCTTTTTGCTTTATTATATAAAAAAATGCATGTTATATATTGATCCTTTAATGCTGTTTTATATATATTCATCAATTTAGCATAAGTAAGTAAATCGATTTAAAAATGAGTACTTCTGATGCTATTTCTATGCATTTTTAAAAAGAATTGGCCGTGCTCTACTTCAAGACATATTTATACACCCAGAAATGGATGCTAAGTATCATTCTAAATATTTTCCTTTATTTTCTGTGAGTACAATAGCACCATAAATCATTTCACTAAGGGAGGTATACTGATTTCAACTAGAAAAACAGCAATGACATGAACTAACTAACTGTTCGTGGGATACCATTTCTTTTCTTATTTTGGATATTTTGGATTGGAAATATACAGTCCTCAGGTCATGACAATAATTGGGACTGGAATTCCCATTGTTACGCAACATGGTTGCAAAACAGGACATCATGTGACTACATCACTTAGTAATGACAATCCTAGCACCCCTTGCCTTCCTTAAGCGAGGATTGTGGGTCAATAAGCAAGGATCTCCTGTCAAGAGTAAAAATTTGGCAGCTATGTGCCTCTTTGTTTTCATCTTGCCATTAGAGTAAGGGGGGGGGGAGATGATGTTTTTGACTGGGTTAGTTAGAAAAATAAAACCTCTCCAGTTCTTTGGAAGTTTGCTGAGAGATGGCTGTTCGGAAACCTTTCAAGGACATTTTAGCAGATGGTTCCCATAACAAAGAGAACCTGTTTACAAGAGCTATGTTGACATCTGGGGGGTTTGGCTGGGAATGTCATTGTTATATGTTTTGATTTAATGCCTTGGGATTTTAGAGTTAGTTTTCCTTCACCTATACCCGATCATGTATTCAGTAAACCAGTTAGCTTTTAAGAAATAACACTAATCCTGGACTTTTATTTGGATAGTCGACCTGGAGGTTGACATCTCCCTTCAATTTCCTGCAAGCTTCCACCAGGCAAAGTCAAAAGTGTGGCTGGAAGGAAGTCTTAAGTTCTAGTTGGCTTGCAAGGAGGCCAGCGGGCAAGTAAGTGCGGCTGTCAGATTGGAGAAGGTACGTAAGGATGGTGGGGAATGTCCAGGCTGGGGAAGATGTTGCCGGCATGTACATGCACTATGATGTATGAGACCCCTAGGCTCTTGTGCTCCATAGCCAGACCCGACAGGAAAAGATTGCAGGAATGTGAGTGACTTACCAGGGTGACTTGCAAGCTTCCCTGCCAGCTTCCCCATTGACTTTGCTGGTGGGAAGCTGGCAGGAAAGATCACAAATGGTGACCACATGAAACGAGATCTTGCAACTGTCATAAGTGTAAGCCAGTTGCAAATCACCCATGACCATGGGGGCCCTGGAATGGCCAGAACTTTCAGGATCAATCATAAGTACAGATAATGCTTGACTTATGATCACAATTGAGCCCAACATTTATGTTGCTGAGTGAGAAATTTGTTAAGTGAGCTTTGCCTCATTTTATGGTTTTTCTTGCCACAGTTGCTAAGTGAATCACTAAGTTAGAAACACAGTTGTTAACTGAATCTGGCTTCCCCGTTGAATTTGCTTGTCAGAAAGCTGCAAAAGGTGATCACATGATACCGGGGCACTGCAACCATCATAAATATGAATCGGTTATCAAGCATCTGAATGTAAATCACGTGACTATGAGGATGCTGCAATGGTTATAACTGTGAAAAATGGTCATTAATCACGTTTTTCAGTGGTGTTATAACTTTGAATGGTCACTAAATGAACTGTTGTAAGTCGAGGACTACTTGTACCACCTGTTCAGTGTCTTTGTGTCTTCAAGCAGTTGTTGACCAAGTGTTTGTTAACTGAGGTCTATTTCTTTACAAAAAAGGGAAAAAAGTATGAAGAGTAAGGACACAATATAGAGTTTGATTTTAATTGTAATGAAGGCCTGAGACAGGATATTACAGGCTATCTTTAATAAGCTGTAAAAGAGCAAAATGTGGCTTGAGAAGAACTTGTGCTAAGACGAGGACAACCAGTCAGTGAGAACTTTGAAAAAATGTACTGTCAAACTGAGTCTTTTTGAAGGACATGTTCTAAGAAATCTCAAGCGCTCCCAGGTGGGAAAAAATGGCTGCCTTTGGAATATAATGCAAAAGAAAGACGAAGTATATAAAAAAGGAAAAATAGCAGTTAACTTACTACAATGGGCTGTCTGAAGTATTCATCTACAGCTGCATTACGGAGACCGGACAGATTTACCCCATAAAAACATTGCTGATACCTGGAAGGAAGAATGTATTTGTTTTGCTTTTTAAATTAAATTCAGAGAAAGAAGTCTTACGGATCTCGTATAACGTCAGATCCATGCATATTATTAAAACACACACACACACACACACACACACACACACACACACAAACATGAAGACTGACCAAGGCATTTTTTAATTGTAAATATATATATTCTGACTCTCTTTTTATTGGTAACTAATTAATGGAGTAATTAACTCTGTAAAAAACATCCAGAGCCTTAAGCAATTTGGTTAAAAATAAATTTTGAAAGAATTAATGGTCACAATTCAGCTATAACATTAATTGTGGTACTTATGTACTAAAACTCTCCTTAAACCTTGGATAGATAGTCAGAGGCTGGCTTTTACAACCACACCATGCATGGAATTTGGATATGGATTTCACAGGTGTTTTTTCAGAGGAAAATAATATGTTTAAAGGCAAAATAGATGGGAGGTCTCTAAGTAAAAAAACAGAAAAATAACTTAGCAAGGATACTCTGGCCTTTGAAATGGATTTTAAGCTCCAATTTAGGGAGGACTGCAACTAGGCAAGAGACTGAAATTAGGCAAACTTGAACCACATCAACATGCTCCTTTATTAAGACCATATGTATGAATGAAGATGAAAAGGAATGGCCAAAAAAGATTATAGTAGACTTATCAAACAAAGACAAAAAGCACCTGGACATAATGGGAATGTTCAGGTTTTTGAACAAGGACTGTACTCCATATGGATCTCAGTAAACATTAGTGACGACAGAGGCAATGCTGAATACAGCACTTGGACTCACACAAAGAATTGCTTCACAGGATTTTTAGTCCTGGTCTTAAGGGCAAAAGAAGTAATTATAGATTTGTGATTGATGCCACTCTGAACTTTGCTATCCATTAGAAGGGCGATAGAGACCATTTTGCAAATGGTTTATTTTCCCTACTAGAACTGTATATTGGATAATTAAATAGCAGCACAATGATTTGATTTGTAATTAGATATCTAATGTAACATTCTACTACCTCAGGATTTTTAATTTAGTTAATAAAAGAATGATTATGCCTCTTAGTTCAATTTATAGACAAGGTACATGATGAGCAAGAGCAAGGAAAAGTCTTTTATTTGTGGCCTTGCTATTGACTTTCCATTTGGACACTCTTTTCAGAAAAAAATGGAGATTAAATGGATATCCTGAACCATGGTTTGATGGACTATCTTAAAGGAACATAAAACTACAGAAGCTAGCACTAATATCCTTTTGACAACTGGTGCATTTAATAAGCAAGAAATATGTGAGCCTCAACAGCTGTGCCTTTATTCAGCCAGAATTCAAAAGAACCTGGATCCAGGTGGTGTAAGTGGAGGATATTACTATATGATAATTGCATATTAATTTGAGCAACCTTTTCCTAGTTGTTGTCTCCAGGAGATGATGAGAACAAGGGACCAACACATCTGGAGGATACCAAGTTAGGCAAAGGTGAATTAAAGTGTTCTTCAATTATGTCTCAGCATATTTATGTTGTCAGTTTGAGGACTTACATCTTCTCTTTCAAATGTTAACTTGACAGAGTTTGGTATCTTCATTTAGTCTTCTATTATTAAAGTCTTCTAAGAGAACTTTATTGATCTTGACTGATACGTCATATCAACAAAGGTATGTCATTCTCACATGCCAAACTTTTTTTTACCACATAAAGCACTGTTACAAATACTAATGTTTATGCAGAAGTGTTTCCAGGATTGAGTGTAGCAAAATCCAATATTCAGAAATTCCAAAACCTCATCAAGTTATCATCACATACGGAACAATTTTAGAAAATACAACAATCAGAAAACCATTTTCATTGGAAGTTGACATGTTACTATGAGAGAAAGAAGTACGCATTCATTAATACAAATGAGACTCCAAGGAATGTCTGTTAAAAGCACACTCCTTGTCACAATAAGTACTGCTACACAAATAATTTTGAACCACATGCTTAGCATTGCACAGTTAAATGGAAAGTAATTTAAATGGAGTTAGTTCTTCTATAAGAAACCAAGTTTAAGATAAAAAATAAAGATAAACTTAGTATTCCAGAATCAGAGTAACCATATTGATTCGGAGATACTTTTAGTAAATACATTAAGTAAATACATGTCAATGCTGCTAACATTGAATGTTCTTGCTTTGACAACAGATGGAAATGTAGCCATCCTTTCTCTTTCGCTTTTAGAGTTAGATGATGCTGGGAGGGGGGATGTGGATGAGAGTCCAGTTAGTTATAACAACAATAACTCAGCCTTAGGAATCAAGGTTATTGCGCCCAGAGCTGATAAAGATTTGGTGGGCTGGAGAGCTGGGGAGAAAGCCTGTGCTTTAAGCTAATTGGGGAATGTGATTTATGACTGTTAATTGTAGGAGGAAATTGTGCTTTGCTACTTTGTGCAGGAGGGGGGGGGATTCAGTTTTTGGCTTTAACTATCTAGTGCCAATACTTTGTTTCTTGAATAAAATATTCTTTAAGGTAAACAATGCCTCGAAGTTCTTTTAAAGAGTTTCATTTGTCGGAACCATGACATTACATTTAGTTTAAGTAAATACATTAAAATACATTAAGTAAATCAAACTAAAGTCAGATAACATTGTAAAAATAGCACATAAGGTGTGCAAGTTTTCTCCAAAAATTACACCTAGGCAAGAAAACAAAACAACCTGTAGAACTAGATTATGTTTACTACCTTAAAAAACAGGAAAGCCACAACATATTTACTTTTATAAGAGAACTATAACTATTGTTCTATATTTATAGTTCTCTTTCTATTTATAGAACTATAAATAAAGTGATTAAAAATAATATTTTGAGCCAATTTTGAAGGATCAGATGATAATATTAAAGTTAAGCTTTTATATTTATATATTTCAGCGACAGTCCTTAGAGGGATCCTAATAGATAAAGTTAAAATCCTCAAATTGAATTTTTGGTGATTTCATAGATGTGTTAGTGCCACTTTCTTGGCAAAAGTATGGGAAGAGTTTGACATTACATTCTTCCAGAATATATTCTAAATTTCTAATCTATCCTAAAATCCTGGATTTCCCACATGATCTCTTGATTAATAACTGAACATAGTGAGAACAGACTGTTCCTGGAAATACGAATAGAATAAAGTAGAGTAGAGTAGAGTAGAGTAGAATAATAACTTTGTCACTTTAAATGTACATTGATCAGTATGCATGAGATTTCGTTACATACAGCTCTCAAAAGGCAACCACTTCCAATATACACTGCATAAATGTGACAATAAAATAAATAAACAAATTTTGCATATACCCATAAACACACACAGAGAAACAACAAAGTCTGTAATACACTGTAATACACAGAAATTTTTGAAGCTGCATTTGCTGAAATGGCATTTCTCCCTTCAAGGTAAAAAAAGCTGTGGCATATAAACATATTTGTAGTCCACAGTGGTGGTATCATACAACCGGCTAGTGGTGGGGTTGTGTCCTAGATCTGAACTGCACCATCAAGATGGTAAGAGGGAAGTGTCTATATACTTTCCCCAAGAACATATTTCCATTCCATAACTCTGTTCTTAATTTCCCATTTTGTCACCTAACCTATGTATTTCAAGCTGTCAAATACTCTCTAAAAGGATTTCTGCTTAGCAAGCTCATTACTGTATTCTTACAACTCCAGATAATTACCATTTTTATTTTCCTGCACAGAGTGTAGCTATGGGACTGTTATCTATTTTATTATTTTGCAATTTTTAGTTTTTTACATTTATATTTAACTATTTAATTATATTTGTAAGAGCTACATTGGAAGGCTACATCTTGTACATTGTAAGTACACTGTTATGAATGGGCCTGTGTGTCTGTGTGTACATACTCAAATAAATTAAACTGCATAGACAATCTGTGTACATCTGTGATAAATTTAAATTTATGTTTGCAAATGGAAGTGCATAATTATTATAAGTATATTTGTGGAAGCAATAGGAGACAACTTAAAAGGAAGTGCAAAGAGAAGATGCTATAAATAATTTTCTCTACACATCATGAATTATCATGGGGTCCTTAATTACATCTTTTTAATGAGCTATTAAGTGACTCCTAAAGTAAACAAGTGCCTAACAAAATCCATCTTAAAATGCACTGCAGACATCTGTCTGTGTATTATTAAAAAGAACACTGAACAATTAAGGGAAATTTAGAAAGTCTTGTCGAGATTCCCAATTTGGAATAAATTATCTTGCAGGTGTTTCAATACTTCTCTTTCTATAAATATTGTGTGTAATTGTATATGATTGGCTTTGTATGTGGCCATTCTTTTCCATTGCAGCAGTAAGAAAAAGCAGAACAGAAAAAAAAATGTTCGTTTTGTTGCATTGTAAAAGGACAATATCATTTTAAAACTTAGGCAACCTCCACAATGCAAGACTAGTCACGTAGCAATAACACACAACACATGGAGACTTGTGATAAGTCACAATAGTGATAGTGGAGAGGGGAATGTTTGCTTTTCAGTGCAAGAAAGCAAGAGACACAAAAGAAAGATCTAAATTCCAGAGTAGGTCCACACGAGCGTATCTTGACCTAGTAAATGGCAAGAAGAACATTGTGGAGGAATGTGAAAAATGCCACACTCCTTTCCCTCAGCTGGAACCCAAGATAACATTTCATAACTATCAGCTATTTGGATTCAGTTGGCTGCTATTCTTCAAGTACATTATCCTAAGCATACCATGTTCAGATGGCCCATATGGTAACTGCATCTATTGTCTAAGGCAGGGGTTCTCAACCTTGGCAACTTTAAGACTTGTGGACTTCAACTCCCAGAATTCCTCAGCCAGCAAAGCTGGCTGAGGAATTCTGGGAGTTGAAGTCCACAAGTCTTAAAGTTGCCAAGGTTGAGAACCCCTGGTCTAAGGAGTTCTTATATTCCAGAACCATTTTGATGAAATACAGAGGGTCATCTTGTCCATAAGGAAAATATTCCATTTTTTGTTTTGTTTTTGCAAACCCTCTTTGAACAATATCTCATATGCTGTGAGGGCAGAGGGTCTCAAGTTTAGTTACTGGCATTTCAGGCAAACCACTCTATGTCAACAGCACTGATCAATGACCTGAGGTAATCACCCAGCATGGTGATTATACTAGTAGTGCAATAATATGTGAAAAAAAATCACAAATTGCCTGATATGCCTTCTTCCTCCTAACAATCCGAATGCATTAAAACCCTTTGTGTCTTGCCAAAATCTGTGCAATGTTTGCTATTTATTTATTTAAACTCTTTATATAGTTTCTTATCTCACAATATCTTTGATCTAGCTTAAAGCAGAGGAAAAACTCGGATTTACAATAGTTCAGGTTTCAGTTCTGCCAAAGTAGCTGATCCCAAATGATTTAAGAAACCATTGGAATCAATAAAGGAGAATATTTATAGCTCAGGGTTGAAATGAGGGGTTCTTGGTGCTCTCTGAGCTTTTTGTTTTCTCGCAGACATCTCATTACCCAACTGGTGTTCATCATCAACATCATCAACCTCTGGAATGCCACATCTATTCAAAACAGAACAATTTCCCTATTCTCTGCCCACTGTTACATTCAAGCAGTGCCCTCCTTCATTCATGCTTTCATTTTATGCCATGTGCTTTTATTGGTGATTTCCCAAAACTGAAGTGATAGCTACCAATTGGAGCTGCATCATCATCAAGGCACTACTGTACTGTATCTTTTTGCTGCATTTTATTTAAAGAGCTGGGGAGGGGGGAGCAGATTCCAGGCCTATTGTTCCTCTACAGCAGTGTTTCCCAAACTTGACAATTTTAAGGCATGTGGACTTCAACTCCCAGAATTCCACAGCCAGCGTTGCTGGCTGTGGAATTCTGGGAGTTGAAGTCCTCATGCCTTAAAATTGTCAAGTTTGGGAAACACTGCTCTACAGGGAGTGGGAAGGCGATGGTGGTTGGTGATAAAGAGTTCTTTAAAAAATTAAAGCTGGTCTATAGTGCAAAGTAAATATGTGTATGTTAAAAAGTAATCCAAACACATTCTTTTCTTCATTGTGGTGTCTCCAGAGGGAATCGTACTGAATTATTTTAGCCAAAACTTAAAACCAGATGATGCAAGCAATATAAAACTTCACCTAAAGTATTCCTCACTTTGTAATAAGCTGGAGCGATGAGAACATGTTCCAGGGGATGAAACCTGAATTCAACTTAAATGTGATATGATATCAGAAGTGAAGCAATTATAGGACACAAGTTCTCTCTCTCTCTCTCTCTCTCTCTCTCTCTCTCTCTCTCTCTCTCTCTCTCTCTCTCCTATTGTCTAGTTCCATTCTTAGATTTTGCTACGTTCATCACTCTTTGATATCAGCACTGACCTACTTTAAGGAAAATTCTTCATCAAGAAGCAGAGTAGTTTTTGTTGGAAAAAGCAATGAAGGGACAACATTCATTCAATTTCTAACATGACCTTAGCTAAAGCCCTATAACGAGAAGATTTAACCTTCAAACCCAACTTCACTGTTAAGAGTTCATTTCCAAAGCATGTGATTGGATTATAAACTATCTTACTTGTTCCTGATTTATGCCTGCCACAATATTTTTATTTCAGTAGTATTACTACCATGGCCTGTTGCAATTTTTCCTCATACTTTTTATTTGTTTGATTTTTGTACTGTGACTCAGTCAATACTGTATTAACCTTGCCTAAGTGCTGCCATTAAATGCTTTCTTTAATCTCCTCTAGTTCTTTGCTGTGAGCACCATTTTATGTTATTATTACCCGTTTGTTTGCAAGTGATACTCTCACTACATATAATCACTTCTTTCCTAAGAATGTATTGCCTGTAACTAAAAAGGCACCAAATGGGGAGTAGCAATGTGACCCAGGCATTAAATTACTAAGTCATTGCATGGTATTTTAATGGCAGTACAAATAGTATGACTGTAACTTCTCACAGCCTCTAAAACAACTGTGCAGGAATAGATAAATAAATACAACAATGGTCCTAAGAATCAGCTCTAAGTGCTACAATTGCAGACCAACAAAATATATATTTTGCAGTTACTTTATAGACATCTATAATTCACCACTGCTTTAAGATTCCGAGAAGCTGTTTCATCTGAAAATTCCTGTTAAATTGCCAAGCAAAACACTGTTTTGTGTGAAAAAAGTGAAACAATTATTACCAAAAATTGGCTCTGGAGTAGTGTTCCATGTAGAGTTGTTCATCGGAAAAAGGAGCCAAATGAATGTCACTAAATGTTGGAAACATCATTCCTGGTGAACAAAAGATAATATACAGTAGCAAACTTCAAATCTTCTATGTAGTCCTTAAAAAAATTGAGTGGAAATATCCAAGAGACATCATTTACTATCCATCCCATACATTTTTTTATATAAATTAACAATTAACAATTATTATTTTTTGCTGTAATTTTTGGTCACATTTTAGTAAATCTATTGACAACAAGATGATCTATTGAATACTTAAGGTGATAATGCTACCTTACTGCCACAAACTGATGAAGCGTTCATATTTTTAACACATTAACAATTAGATATTTAAATAAAATCCTTAAAAGCAAGTTCATCCACCACTATTGGAAAAACGGGATTATATTTCTTAAACTGAAGATTCAAAATATAACTTATAATTATAATAATTATTACTAATCAATCATCAACTTTTTCAGGGTTTCATTGTAGAGAATGTTAGACATTGTCAGTATTAAAAAGTAGAATATTAAGGAATATCAAATGACCACAAAGCATTGTACAAACCCTATGACTATTTCAATGCAATGTAACACTGAAATGACCACATTACAGACTTATACTGCCTATCAGTCATCCTTCACGTAAATAAAAGCTTAACTCAACATTTGGGAATGACCAGATGAAAGCATTTCAATAGGTAAATTGTTTAATAGCACATGGAGGAAAGACAGGACATTTAAAAGAAAACAAATATCCTTTAAATTAATGACTGTTAGCTAGGAAGACAATTGATTCATTTTTGTAGCTTGATGGGCAAAGTATTGTTAATGCTACTTTCAAAAAGATATTGATTATACACTAAAATTCTAAAGCTCTTTAGTCTGAAGCAAGTCACTGAACTCAGTTTTGTTCAGAGTAAGTTGTTTCAATTTAGCAATATTACAATATAAAGGCAACTCTTAGGATTAAATAATATAGAGAGAAATATATCCTTATTGCCCCCCTTTGTTCTACAAATGAGGAAAAAATATCATTAGCACATTAGTATTGAAATAGGATTTAAATTTTAGTAACAAGAACCACAGAAAGGAAACGTTTAAATGGAACAATTAGGCCAAACCAAAAATTCACTTTAAAATGTAGGTTATAAATTGTGATTCCTGGGTTAGAAAAAGCAGAAAAACACCCTACAGAGGTTGATTTTCTACACTCCACTCAACCCACATATTCTCTAAAGCAGTGCTTTATTGATAAAGCTTGCTTGTGTTACACAAGTTTTAAATAGGATTAAAAATCATTTTTTCCTCTACTTCCTGTTGAACCATATTTTGGTGCTAGCAGGGCAGAAGGAGACTGGGAGATCCCCTTTCTTGACTTAAGATTTTAACCTAGTCTGCAAACCAAGGGACATGGCTGCTGGGTAAGATAGAATCATTTAATCTATTGGCTGCATCAAGATAACTTGAGGGAAAAAATCAATTAATATGTAATATTGTGTGCTAAAAGGAAACAAGCAATCTGTCTTGCTAGTGGCTACATTTCATAAACATAGGCTTCTGTCTGTGAGATGCAGATCCTCGGAACCTGTAAATGTATAGACTCACCACTGGACTTCAGCCATTTTTTGGAATGAAGGTAACTTTCCAGCATCCTTTCATTGAACAGCATGTAACCCATTGGCTCAGAAACTATAACATCTACCCTTTCAGGTAGAGTGATTTCCTCAATTTTTCCTGAGAGAACACTGATCTTATCAGCCACGTTGTTACTCTGGACTAAAATCTGTAAAGTAATGAAATAGTAGAAAAAAAATATACGTATTAGCTTTGTTGATTCACAGATGAGTTAATGTAATATCAGTTTTGTGGATTAATGGAATTCTACCCAGCTGTCTTCACTTATCATTTTTATGGAATTCATTTTTCAAAAAAGGGATATAAATAATACATCATGTTTTTGCAATCTGTACTGTATGCTCAGCTTGTTAAGTAAGTCGGAATCAAAGTTAAATTAATTAAGATATTTATTATCAAATTTATGTAGCTACCCATATCATTGACGTGACTCTGAGCGGCGTACAATAAAATGAACAATTAAAATAGATCTTAAATAACCATTAAAACGATTAATATAAAATATAAATAAGGAGAATAAGGAGAAGGCAACAAAATCTCATATACAATATAACAATCCCCTAGGAAAAGATTTTCGCTGAGTGAAGATATAATCACTGCAATTTGATTTTTATTTGTTTTTTATTAACCTTTATGTTCCATCTTTTTAGTAAATCGACAGAAGGCTAGTATGATTCAGTTATAAATCCTGAACGTTTCTTTCCTTTACCTAATCACAGTTGTTGGAAGAAAGCGAAGCTACTGTATTAATGTATAAATTTATGGAAATATTTGCTTTCTTTCCTAAGTAGTTCTCAGAAGCTGTATTGTAATAAGAAATCATTTTACTGCCAAATTCTTATACCGAAAGCATTTTGTGCAACAGGCTAGTGAAAGATTTGTCTGTGGATATGGCAGAGTTAGGATACGAATGAAAAGACAGGTTATTGAATAGATCCTAATAAGGTTATCTGCATATTTTGCTAATTGTAATTCTAAAGCAGCGGTTCTCAACCTGTGAGTCGCGACCCCTTTGGGGGTCGAACAACTCTTTCACAGGGGTCGCCTAAGACCATCGGAAAATAATACATCATGTATTTCCGATGGTCTTAGGAACCGAGACACTGCTATGCATCCGTCTCCGCATGGCTTCCTCCGCCATTTGCAGAGAGAGAGAGACAGAGAGGCATCTCTCTCTCTCTCTCTCTCTCTCTCTCAGACTTACCTCCTGCAGAGCTCCTGATTGGCCCTGCCCCCGGGTGCCCCACCCCTGGGAGAAGCATGGCCAGGACCTTGTGGCCTTGGAGCCTCCCGGGGAAGCCCCAGGATCCCTACTCGGAGCGGCCTGCTGGAGGCTCTGCTGAGCAGGCCAGCCCTCCCGCAAGCCGCGGTCCAAGGGAGACCAGCCCCTGCGATCCCCAGCCAGCCCAACCATTGGCCCCACTGGCCGGGAAGGCGTGCCAGAGTTCAGGCTGCCGGGAAGAAAGAAGGAGATGCAGCAATGGTAGGAAAGGAGAGCCTCCTCCTGAGGCCCGGCACTGGCAGCGGCTTCCTTGCCCTCCTCTTCCTCCTCCCCTTCTTCCTCCTGCTGCCCCCCAGGCGGCTTGGGCGGGCGCCAGGACAAGAGGGGTGCCTGGGGGAGCAGCTGGGCTGGCAGAGGGGTTGGCAGGGACCGCGTGGCACCAGCCCCCACCACGGCTCCATCGATGGGCGGAGGGCAAGGCCGGGCAGCGTGGAGTCCTGGCGGGGGCGGCGGGGACCCCTGACAATGCAGCCATGCCGCCGCCACCACCGGAACCGCTGCCTCCTGTTCTGCTCCCCCTCCCCACCCATTCGGCTGAGGACATGGTGGAGGCCGGGCCGGAGACAGCGGGGACCCCCGACGATGCTGCCGTAAGAGAGAGAAAGAGAGAGAGGAAAGAGAAACAGAGGAAAAGAGAGAGAGAAAGAGAAAGAGAGAGGAAAGAGAGAGAAAGAGAGAAAGAGGGAGAGAGGAAAGAGAAAAAGAGAGGAAAGAGGGAGAGAGAGGAGAGAGGAAAGAGAAAGAGAAGAGAGAGAGGAAAGAAAAAGAGAAAGAGGAAAGAGAAAGAGAGGAAATAGAGAAAGAGGAAAGAAAGAGAGAGAGAGGAAAGAGAGAGAAACAGGAAAAGAGAGAGAAAAGAGAAAGGGAGGAAAGAGAGAGAGAAAGAGGAAAGAGAAAGAGAAAGAGAGGAAAGAGAGAGAAAGAGAGGAAAGAGAGAAAGAGTAAAGAGAGAGAAAAAGGGAGAGGAATGGCGCTTCTCCAACCAGGCTGGGCGGAGCCAGTGGAGCAGCCTTCCTGCCCCCCCCCTCCCCAGCCAGCTGGATGGGGGGTTGGGGGTCACCACAACATGAGGAACTGTATTAAAGGATCGCAGCATTAGGAAGGTTGAGAACCACTGTTCTAAAGGGTCAAAGTAGATAATTTTACCCAAATCTTTACAACCATGGCTCTTAGATTCTCAGAAATGCTATACTTTAATCCAACAAATAAATAATATAGTTGCTGTGATAATGTGTTTATGAATGTGCATGAAATGAATCATCCCTGCAAAAAGAGTACTATATAATTTCTAAAGAGGATTTAATGGCATTCTGTACAATATTGTCATATAGACTTCGACACTATTAGCAACTATAAATACCAAGGACTTGTTATGTTCCCCAATTCCTCTTTTCTGTTGCAGCTTTTCAAATCTTTTCAAAATACAGCCATTATCAGTATATTGCAAAATGCTCTCTATAATTTGAGGCAAACCCTAAACTACTATTTTGGATTAAGGTAGGTTACAGACAGTAATTATGAAAATGCAATTAAAATGAATGAAAGCAGACCAAAAGTTGAGTTGAACAGATGAATCACTAGTACAGTGAATGGTTATTCAAGTATCTCCTTTCGTAATATTAAATTACTGTACTTATACCTGCTTTGGAACAGAAAGGGAAAAGATTGTGTTTGGCAAACTGTGAGCTACATGTAGCCCTTGCAAGCAACCAGTGCTGCTGTTGTTTGGCTCTCTGTATATCCCTAGTGAGTTGTGCTATTCTGATGACTTCTGACAGTCCATTAAGCAGCAGCTTGGCTAGTTTTTAAGATCATGCTGAGGAAAGACATCAGGACAATTCCCAAACAGGACTGGAGTCCTGATGCTCTTTCAAGTGACTGGTGGGCATTAAGAGGACATTTAAATAGAGAAAGCCCTTCTTTTTGTAAGATGGCAGTGTGTAAATAAGCCCTAAAATATTCTGAGTATGCATATTTTTCAGCATTATTTTTCACTTCTCAGTCCAGGGCTATAGCTACTAAATTTCTTGTTTTAAATTCTAACCACATTTCTGGTTTTATAAGTGAAGACAAGAACATTGAAATGAATGATTTAAAAGCATGCATGTTCGTGAAATTCATTAAATAAAAGATTAAAGTTGCTTTGCATTAAGACACACATGCACATGTTCAAATCTAAATTTAAAGGAACTAATCTTGAGATAGTCTAATTGGTTGAAAATATTATTTAAAAAATAACTTCATGGTTAAAGTGAGCAGACTAGTAGAAAGCAAGATACTAGATTAGTTCCAGGCTTTTATAAAGTGTGATAGATTTTTTTTTCTATAATGGATCAAGTTATTCAATAAGTAAAAGTTTCTGCTTTTCCTTAAGAAAATAAAATTATCCTAATATCAAGGATGCACAAGTCTTATAATTTTTAATATCCCAGCTATTCTCCAAAGTCAGAATTTTTATACTGACATGTGTTCATAGTTCTATAATAGTCTTAATCTTATTGTGAATTCACGATGCCCCAATCTCTGAGCTGACTCAATTTTGTCTTGTAATTCTTTTCACATTAGTTTAGCAAGGCAGCAATATCTGAGGTCAAACTGAACTATCAATTAACAGATTTATTTATTTATTTAAAACATTTATACAACCACCCATTCTTATAGCAAACTCTGGGTGGCTCCCAGTCAAAAACATAAAAACATATAAAAACTATTAAAAACATAACCATTAAAAACAAAAACCTGGTGTCCAGTCAAGCTTCTGACATACTGTCATCTCATCCTACCCCAGCACTTGGGGTTGAAGCCAAGTCTTCAGTGCTTTTCAGAAGGCTAGGAGAATAGAGATCTGTTGAACTTCAGAGGGAAGAGTGCTCCACAGGCCAGGGGCAGGCAAGGAGAAGGCATGCTTCCTTGGTTCCATAAGGTAGCAATGTTTAAGAGAAGGAATTAGGACTGTGCCACCTATCTAATCTGGTGGGACAGGTAGATGTCCTTAGAGAAAGGTGGTTCTGGACATAACCTATCCCTGAACCATTTAGCTTTAAAGGTGATAACCAGCACCTTGAATTGCGCCCAAAAGGAAACTAGAATCCAGCTCCTGCAACAGAGTGTTACTTGGGAAACGTAAAGGCACCCATATGCCACTCCATTCTGGACCAGTTGACAGTTCCAGGTGGTCTTCAAGGGTAGTCCCATATTAAAAAGCTCAGCTATCAATCTTCGGTGCTGATTTTTCAAGAGAAGCATCAGACTTCAAAGGTAAAGTAATTGATCCCCAAAGCCTTGAGTAGAAGACAGCTGATGAAAACAACATCTGTTGCAGCCCTATTTTAGCTTGTATCTAACCATTACAAATGCTATGTTCCCAAATCAACAGTTTTTCAAACCTGGCTGATCTTTTGTAAGGTCTGATAATGATTCCTCTGGTGTGACATATAGTATGTCACCTCTACATCATGTTACTGTCATGCTGGGCTGCAGAAATGGCCTATGATTTGTAATGGTACGAGGACAATTTGACAATGATGTTATTTCAAAGCAGATTCACTTCACAGAGCAGCTGGAATCTAAAGCTTGGGAGCCTAAAGAATCTACCTTGGCTGCAAACTCTGATTAATACAAAAGAGGTTAGACTGCCAATTTTTGCTCGAGTCTGAAAATGAGGGCTGGGGGAATGGGATTGGGTTATTTGATTCATTAATCCTTAAGTAAGCCATTCATGTTCAGATATTAAGAGATTAGGGAATAAAACAAGGCAGACTATATGTAACAATAAAGATAGTCTTTGACTTATGAGTAGCCATGTAATGATCATTGATCTGGTGCCCCTTGGACATGTGATCTCAGTTTTGGGTAGTTGGTAACCAGCTTACATTTACAACCAGTTGGCCTTTTAAGGAAGGCATGGAGGAGAGCTTATAAAGCTAATACTTTGTACAGAACCAATAGGCGCAATCAAGACAGGTACACTATAGATAAAGTTGTGCTCCTATTTCTCTACTTGTTATTCATGACTGAATTCCCAAACAGGATATAAAACACATAAATTGTGCGTTCTTAAAACCATCAGTAATGAAGAGGACCTTTTTCCACTCACCTTTTCTCTAATTGTTATACAAATTTGTTAACCTGGTTTCCCTTCCTCTGGCAGGCACAATTTTATAATTCATGCTCCGGTACACTGTTATGTGTAATATGAAGACTTGCAGATGTTGCATGATTAACCAGTTCAATTCACTGGGGAGACTATATTTTATCAATATTAAAATAGATTCATTATTTATATAAATTCAGCTCCTGGTGCTTGCTATCCATTAATGTTCCCCAAACATGGAATGACTCCTGCAAATTCTTGAAGTTGCCAAATCCAAAACTTCTGGATGAGGCCAAATTGAAGAAGCTGCCCTGCTCAATGTAGGACACAGTTATCTAAAACAGGGGTCCACAACCCCCGGTCTGGGGACCAGTACCGGGCCACGGCATGCCAGCAACCGGTCCGCACAAACAAGCAAAGCCCCATCCGTGGGATGCAGGCAGCACACAAAACCACGCACCCTCTGATCCGCGAAAAAACCTCTCTCCATGGAACCGGTCCATTGTGTCCAAAAGGTTGGGGGCCTCTGGTCTAAAAAATAATGTCTGTACCATTTTCTATATTTACTGAGGTTATCCTCAAAAGGTTTTTTTTTTTTAAGCATCCATATTATTCGTGGAAAGGAAAGTTACAAAATCTCTAACAGGCTTTTCCTAGCAGGAGTCCAAAGTTTATCCAGATAGGCATGATCTGTGGCTATTCTTCAGCTTTTGGGCATCATCCAGAAACGTCATTGATTTTCTTGGCCTTTCAAATAATTTAAAATGCTTCAATTAAAAGTGAATTAAAACAAAGACTTTTAATGTTTAATATCAATGTTTTTTAATAATAATATTAACTCCACCTAGGACAAATGTTGAAGAAAGAGGAACACAGACATATTAAAGAAACAGGAAATTTCTTGGACAGTACAGATCTAACAGTGTTTCCCAAAACACGATTCTTTAAATGGAAAACCTTGATTTGATTCATTAAATAGAAAACCTTGCCTGGAGGCATATGCAGCAAGCATCTGGAAGAGAGTGTGAACTTCTTCTCTTTGGGCCTCTGTTCAAAAGGAACCCCGTTGCCAAAACTCCCAGAAAGACCTCTCTTTCACCAGCCTTGTGTGCCAAATGCTTCTGTATTCCTCAAGGACTAATTCTTTATTTCTAATGATCCCATCAGTAGTTGACCTCTCCCTTATACTTTGCAGAACATTTTCCTTATGTGGGTTGCTCCCATGCTCTGTTTGTACAGGTGCCCTCCATAAAACTCCTCCATCTTAACATCACTTTATTTCTCAGACTTTGCAAAAGTCATTTAAATCCAAATTCTGGACACAGCTATTTGAAAACATCTCATTATTTCTGTAGAACATGCTCCCAGCTAAACATGGGGGCACAGCATTGAAAAGGTCCACTCCAATTATACAGCAGTTCAGTTAGTTCTGTAAATAGAACCAAAGCAAGTTCAGTGGGATTTATTTTGATATCCAATTTAAAAGTACAGCTTTTATCCTACTATCCAGCTTTCTGGCCTTATATTCCAAGGCATGCTATCGTGTATCCTTATAATTTAGGCTCTGTGAAACACATCTGTAAGTCCCATACCAGAGAAAGATACTAGGAAAAGATCCATTAATACTTTTTTTTTTTTTAAAAAATGCACCATTTGACAGCATTTATTTGAGATGAAGTAAAGAATGTTTCTTGCAGCTGTAATTCAAGAACAAAGTCATGCAAGAAAGATCTGAAAGGTAAATTAGGTAAATTAGGTAAGCTAATTATTTGCAATATTCTAGCATACTGGTGAGGGCTGAATCCATAGGGTGAATGATGGGAGATTTCCAGTTTCCTCTCCCAGAGACTCTGTACTCTCCTGGCCTACCTTCCTGCTTTGGAACAACTGCTTGGTAGTTTAACAGCGGCCACCAGTTTTCTGCTTAGGCTATGCTCTAGGTCAGGAGTAGGCAACCTTGGGTCTTTTATGTTGATATTAAGAGGTAAAGTGTCACCTAGAACTGGGGTAGGCAACCTTGGGTCTTTTATGACTTGTGGACTTCAATTCCCAGAATTCCTGAGCCAGCTGGCTCAGGAATTCTGGGAGTTGAAGTCCACAAGTCATAAAAGACCCAAGGTTGCCTACCCCTGTTCTAGGTGACACTTTACCTCTTAATACCAACATGTGGGACTTATAGGGATTCCCCCAATTTGTACTGTCAAATCAAAAACAAGATTGAAAAAAGTGGGAAAAATATTCTATTGTGCTACCTATCATAACTCTAGTACAGGCAGTCCTCATTTAGCAACTGTGAAATGAGCAGTCAACATTTGGGCCTGCAACTTGGTCGTTGAGGAGAGCAGTGAAACTGTAACTATGCTTAGAATCTTGCTTCCACTTTGCTTTGCTTTACAGACCTACAAAGGATTGGCTGAGAAGTTACTTTTTCAGCACCCTCATAAGTATGGACAGTTGCTAAGCAAGCCAGTCGCTCAACGAGGACAATACCAGTACACACTTGACATATGTGCCCTAAGCAAAGCTGCCGCCCCACTTGATCAGATGGTTAAATGTGACAGTGAGAAGTCTGTACATTTAACTTTCCAAGAATCTGTTAATGTATTCTTACAATGAAGTAGAATTGCTCATCATTTTTCCTGTCTGATTCACTAGGGAGGGCTGACAATACCAAGACTTACTTTTGAGGCTCAATAAAGATGGTAAAGTTCACTTATGTCAGCCTGCTGAAATGCCACATTTGGCTAACACTCCCCACTGTATTTATTTGGTGTTCTCTTTCACAAAGTTCTCTCCCTTTCACTTTCACAGCTTGGATTTCAAAATAACCATCTTTTTTTTTTCTCTAGAGAAGGAAGTTGCTTAGGAAATTCCTTTTTGTCTTACCTGGCTGAGTCTGAATTTCTCTTCTTTGACTACATACATTTCCAGCCACTGCTCTTCTGTAGGCAAGTATTAGCTCACCTGCTTGATAAATATTTCCGTTCTGAAAATTGGCTGTGAATGTTATGTTGGCTGGAGCAAGTGAATGGGGTAGTGTGCTTGGCCAGTCACTATATCTACATTCAAATGAATATTGTTTTTGATATGCTTACGATACTGCTGAGATGATCGCAACATCTTAATTATAATACAGGTTTCATTACATTTGAATGAATCTAAACAGCTTTAGAACTTTGCATAAATTACAAGCTACTTCTCTGGAATTAAAGAAAGAGAGAGGGAGAAAGCAATATCCACTGAATTCATTAGCCTTTCTGAGTTATGTAGTTTAAATCTGTGATGCTAATTCAATTCCACCATCTTGGCCAGACTGCAGACTAAATCAGCATAACTTGCACATTCCACATGCTATTACTGTACCATATTTGAAGTAAGACATGAGAAATTCCAGGAAAAAACCCTGCTTGCTTTTCCCTGAAATATGCCCAGTATTCTTGGTTGACTGTAATTGCTAATTAGTTTAAATCCTTTTACAAGAGATGAGTTTTAATTACCAAAGTTTTTAGAGTATTTCAATGTAGAAAAAAATAATTGAATGGTAGCCAATAAAGATAATTCTAATCAAAAGTTGTATTTTACTTTAAATTTCAATAGTACATTCAATTGGTACTCCTTGTTATTAATTTACCAATGAAATGGTTCCTGCCTCATTTGCATTATACTGAATAGGCCTATTTCTCAAATATAAAGCAGCTATTGCAAGGATACATTATAGTTGTTAGCAGGGATAGTGAGCCCCTTAAATCTGCCTCCACCATCAAGACATAATTTTGTTTAATGAGTTTCCTACTTTCACTAAATGTGCTAGTTTGTAGTTGCTTAAGTGGGAACAAGTTAACAACTTTATTTAACATGTAGCTTCAGAATGAATTATGCTCTTCAAGATACGATCCTGATGAAATAAAATTAACCTAAACTGTGAACACCTTTATTTCAGCTAGAAATACTTTTGTGTCCTGCATGCACAGCAAAGCAAACTAATGCAGTAGTTCATCAAATCTAACATACTCACCTCGGCATATTTAGCCACCGAGCTAGCTTCAACAGCATAGACTTTTCTAGCACCAGCTTGCACAGCGAAAAATGAAAGAATCCCTGATCCACATCCAACATCTAGGACCACCTTGAAACAGAAAATGGATGGGGATGAATATGCCACTGTATAAGGCTTTATTTATATTTTAGATCTTCTCAGCAGATTCAGAAAGTATAAAAACCCTCCTGCCAATCAATCAAATATTTATCAAATATTTATAAATGCTATCTATGATATTGCCAATCTTCGAGATCTTCTAACTAAAACAATGCTAAGGTTTTCTTTGTGAAATTGAGATATTGCATCAAATTCATAACATAATTATTTGCATATTTTTATTAATTGTAGTACAAAAAAGTGAATAACAAGTCTTGAAATCACAAGCTCTTACTATGATAAATTTGGAGAAACTACAAATAAATTGTAATTTATTTTCTCTGAGGGAATTCAATAGTTATTTTTGCTATTGTACTTCCTAGCAGAAGCATTAGTGTGAGTATAAAAAAGAAGCAAGATCAGATGCTGTAAGATTATTAACTTAACACAGGTAGATCTTGCAAATTCTTTTCAAAGCATTTTATTCCATTAAATACACTCCTAAAGTCAAAATGCAATAATGGAAGCATGTTTTTTTTAATTTCTTTAAGAATCTACTTAGCAAAAGTGGTGAAATAACATAACTCCCTATACAATGTTTATAGATTAACATCTACAACAAATTGTGTTCAAGTGGACAGTATTTGCCACACTCCAACCCAGAAAGGAAACGAAGTTAGTCTATACTACACATTTATGTACGGATGGATGTATCTGTATATTTCCTGACTCCCAGTGACTCTGGGCAGCTAATAAATTCATTCCTTAATTAGTCTCTTTACTCTAACAAACTCAAAATGAATAAATTGATTTTTACCAATTTATTACCCACATTAATGCTTCCTAGGTCTGCTGTGATGTATTAGAATCCTGACCCTTTCGTGGGTGACTATATTTACTGAATTTTTCCTGCCTATCTCCATGCCTTAGTTTACATCCTTCCATTGACCTAATCAGCATCATTTTGAGAAAATAAATGCGAACATACTTTACTGTTTCGACATGCTAAATAAAGAGAACTGAAGTAATGCTATAACACTATCTCTAATAGTACAGGTCCTAGATTTAATCCTAGCTTTGCTATTAAACTTATTATATTTAAATATTGTGTTGTTATAGTATATATAATATAATAAATTTATTATACTTAAATAAATGATTGTTGCTTTCTAATTGAGTGCTGTTTTATACATAGCTAATTTTGTTTGGACTGAGAAGAAGTTTAAGCAAAGTCACATAGGTAAGAAAATGTATTAGCAGCCACTGAGTAAATCCTTCCATCCAAACAGTTTACTTACCACTACAAATTATGTTATACAGATTTATGAAGCTCGGCATCGCCAACACTTTTACCAGATTGTGTTTGAATAATTTATAGTGTATTTGTTGAACAATTTCAAAGTGTTGTGGTTTATGGCTGATTTCCATCTCTTGGATTAACTTCCCCAGTTATACACTGGCTACAGGCCTCGTGAGAGTTAGGACCAGCAGTGTTGAAAGTTCTGAAAATTCTCCACCATTTTTTAAAATTATATTTTACTGGTGGATATTACTTTTACTTTATTGTAAGGGTGCTGGCCTCCGAAACATCTTAGCAACGAAAAGACAGATTGAAAATATTCAAATGCATTTCAAAAATTGTATATAAACTAGTTATGCTTCCCCAACATCATATAAAAGCAGAGAGCAGAGTAATGCCAGACTGAAAGTAGGAGGTATATTGGCTTCAGAGCCATTCTAGCTAAGCAACAATTCATTGCCTCTGTTTGAAATCAGAGAAATATAGAAAAGGCAAACAGTAGAAGGCAGGAGGGACACATCATTTCTTTTTTTTAAAGTTTTATTAGTATTTTTTTAACAGAGTTCAATAATAATTATTCAACAAAAACGTGTTGTCTGAGTATCTTATTCACTAATACAAATTAAATTCCTAATCCCTAAATCTTTTCTCTAACCATTGATAAAATAGGTCCCAAGTTTGCAAATATTCTGTTTCTTCTTTTTTCTATAATGAAAAAGTCTCACATCAGTGTGCCATGGCAAGGATCTCACAGCTCTAACTGATTTAATGTACAGACACAAATTTAGCTATTATGGTTGTGGACTTTTTCTAAGAGGTCAGAAAGCCTCTAAACTCTTTTGTGTAAAAAAATACAAGGCAATGTCACTTTGTTTCTCCCAGACAAATGCATAGCCTTAACAATAAAATTGAAAAGAACCTAGCTAAGTGGTGTTTAAACCAATTAAAAATGCAATACAAGAAATAAGTACATACAGCAATCAAGAAAGAATATGTTGTTAATATTAAATGACAGGATTGACCAGATGTTAAAATGACCAGAAACCTTCACACACCTAGGACCCCAGGCCTGGCCACATAACCAGGTCTTCAAGGTGTGATGAAGCAGGGTTGGTGCCATTCTAGTCTCTGGAGGGAGAATGTCCTTGAGGGCAGGCACTACAACAGGCAAGGCATGCTTCCCAGTCCCCACCAGCCAATAATCCTTGGCTCACAGGTCCTGGAGCATGCCCATCCAGCTAGACTGAATCAGATGGGCAGAAACAACTGGGAGAAATTGGTCCCTCAGATAACCTGGTCCCAAGCCAAGAAGGGCTTTAACATGACAATCAGCACCTTGAACTGCACTTGGAAACACACTGGCAACCAATGCAGCTCACAAAGCAGTGATGTTACAAGTGTTGAGTACCTGACACCATTTACTACTGATTCAGTTGCATTCTGCACTATCTGGAGCTTCAGAATGCTCTTCAAGGACTCCCCCCACCATCCAATGTAGAGCATGTTGCAGTAATTCATACTGGATACTTGGACAAGTCAAGAGGACATAAGTGACAACGAGCAAAGCCTCCTGGTCCAGGAATGGGCACAACTGGTACACAATGCAAAGATGTGCTTCTTAGCCAAAGCTGCTATCTGCTTTTCCAGCAGGAGTCATGAATCCAAGTGCCCCCCCCCCCAGATTGTGCACTGGCATCCTCTGGGACAGTGCCACTCCACCCAGAACTAAAGATGGAATAACATGGAGACTTGAAGGCCCAAATGCTCAAAACCATTCACTGTGATGAATTCAGGCCCCTAAAGCCCCCAGGTATTGGGACAGGACATCCACAGGATCACTCAGGCAGCCTGAGGCAGCTGCACCAAATGTGCTGCACATTTCCGAGTCAGCCTGCAGGTGAATCCCAGAATTGCCCCCTCCAAGAAGGGACCAGGTAACCCAAAACAGGGCAGCTGGGCAGCTATCTGCAGACACAATAAGAGTGGGGCCCTTGTCGCCATGCAAAAGGCTCTAAGAGTGGCTCTAGCTTGTGCTTGAGCATCCTCACTTTTTGTCATTCACCAGCAGTGCACTAGGCACCTCTTCATCCTCTTCATCTGCCTTCGCTCATGCATAAACCATGGAGAGTTCCAGGGCACAGAGGTTGCAGCGACTCTTCTATTTCACCAAGATTTTGGCCAACTGTGTTGCAGACCTTCTGCAACAATGCCAAGCTCCTTCTGGATCCAATCAGCTCCATCAGTCATCTGGCCGATCTAATGTTATGGCCAACTTTGGAAGAAAATAGGTATAGATATTTGAAACTGAGCAGAAAGATAAGGCTTACCTTATCCTTAAAATCTGTATGATTCTGAAGTATTGCTCTGTGATATGTAGCCGTCCTTACAAAATCCTGCATCATATTCTGTTGTTGAGATAAGCATCCATAAAACTAGAAAGAAAAGAGGAGAAGTGTAGTTGCTACAATTTGCCCCTAGCAATGTACAAAATAAGAACAAAGTTTTTCCTGCAGAAACCCAAGATAGTGCCCTAAACTGCAATAAATCTGGGAAATATTGGTGATGAAAAAATCATAGCCACTGAACACTTCATAAAAAAATTATTATGACATAATCTTATAGCATGTGTTAGTCTTTTCTGTTGTTACAAGAATGTTCTTTTTTTTTCTGCAACAGGTTATCTTAATCCCCGTGGGAAATACTGAATATATTGCTAGTAGGATTATGAAACAACAGCTGTCTACCTGAAAATACTGAGCTGCAGAGGAGTCTTCTGTTCTCTGACTGAATACAGAATGTTCCTTATTTATCTTCCTACAGCTTTTCAGGGCATTTGAAAACATGTTATATTCTGAAAAAGAAAGAATAAAGTTAGACTACATGGACATTACATGCAAAACCAAAGCAGGCAGGCCACACAAATGTAACTGAATTATTACCACGTTGATCTTTATTCTGCACAAAATATAATTCTAAATTCCAGTAAAATATGCATAGCTGTAGATAGAAATTATATTGTCTGCTCTTTTCTACACAATTCCGCCTTTACAATAGCTTAACTGCTGGTTTCAATTAATGAAATGGTATTTTGCCACATTTTAGCACAGCTCAAAAATGTTAAGAGGGCTTAGGAGGAAGCAGCTTATCTACTCCAGGCACTAACGGGAGGAGCAACAATCATTGCAGCTAGAAGCCAAGTTTCCCATTAAAATATTCAACTGTTTCAATTTTTAACCTACAGGTAGTCCTCAGCTTTCAATCATTCAAGTAATGAATATTCGACGTGAAAATGGGATCGAAAAAAGCGGGCTTATGACCGTTTTTCACACTGATGACCATTGCAGCATCCCCATGGTCACATGATCAAAATTTGGACACTTGGCATGTACTTATGACAGTTGGTCCATCCCAGGGTCATGTGATCGCCATCTGCAACCTTCTGACAAGCAAAGTCAATGGGGAAGCCAGATTCACTTAACAACCATGCTACTAACTTAACAACTGCAGTGATTTACTTAACAACTGTGGAAAGAAAGGTGGTAAAATGGGGCAAAATTAACTTAACAACCCTCTTATTTAGCAACAGAAATTTTGGGCTCAATTTTGGCCATAAGTCGAGGACTACCTGTATTGACAAGCGGTGTTATTTTTTTTTCCAACATCCTCAGGTGTTGTCTCTAGAGACAATGGCTTATTTAAAATATCTGTAGCAGGTCAACTTCACTGAAGCACTGATATAAGGTACCATCAAACCAGGTATTTTACATTCGTTATAGCTAAAGAAAAGTGACAAAAAAGTGGCAAAAGTCTCCAGATCGTTTGCACCGCTGAGCAGACCCAAAGTTCTGGTGCTGGCTCCAGCAAGTCTGCCTGGTGCTATTTCTGGAGCTCCTAGCAAGTTGGAAAGATATGAGTTAGTATATATTTTTTTCCTTTGTAACTAACTCTCTTAGTATATATTCAAGAAAATCCTTTTTGGGATTTCACCATAGTTTGACCTACAGATAATCCTCATTTAACAACCACAATTGGGACTGGCAACTTAGCCATTAAGTGAAGTGGTCCTAAGTGAAACTACAACTGGGCTTATGATCTACCTTTGCTTTAGAAATCTGCAAAGGTGGTAAAGGCAAAGATTGGTCATAAAGTTATTTTTTCATCGCTGACGTAAATGTGAATGTTTGCTAAACGAGGCAGTTGCTAAACAAGGATTACCTGTATGTCTCTGAATCTTAAAGAATCTACTGGCCCTCAGGTGGCATAAGAGGGCAAGAGCTGAGCCAAGGCATTTTCTTCCTCTGGGAAAGTGGTATGGGTAGCAAGAAGTATTAGGTAACCCATAATCAGAAGTTCCATCAAGGGAGTCCTAAGGGCATGATCAAAAAAGGAGAGACATTTCCTGTCATCTACCAATGTGTGTACTCTCTTTTCAGTCATTCACTCTAATCGGTCTCTATACCTTAATCCTGAGGGAATTATTGAAAGCAATAGCAAATATTTTTTTATTTTTATACCTATTAATTTTTTAGACTTATCACACGGGCAACAACTGTATTAACACAATAATAGAGAAGTGAATGTTATACAGTATATTCTGTGATTTATTTTTCTAGCTGCTAGCATACTATTATATTTATTTGCTTCACCCTGTTTTTGCTTGTTTTGTTCTTTTAAATTTTGCTGGTGATGGACAAAATAAATATTATTGAACTGGACTGAATGGAAAGCAACAGAAACTTACTGCTTCTCATGTGTCTCTAAATATGATGCAAAACTGACCTTCCCTTCCCTTCTCTTGGTGCCAGGACTAGTTAAAAAAAATTCTTCAAAAGAAAATAAGTAACATTCATTAATAACTACTGGCTACCAAGGCAAGATAAATTTATAGTTCCATCTGCACATTTATATTTATTTCCATAAAATTTTTGAAGCCAGTATTAACACAGAAATTGGTTTCCTTGCTGAACATTTAGACTATTGTGGGCAAGTATATTGTTAGTAGAAGGTAGGTTGCACTTTATTGCTTAAATTGATCTAGATGGATAGCTTTATTTTGCAAAAAAACTAACTCTTACACATTCGACACACTAAAAATCTACAGTATTTTATAGCCAGCAGCTTGATGTTATTCAGATGTTGCACACATGTTACACAGGAAGCAGAAAATACTACGTATGATTTACTGATGTCTAAATGATAGAAACCGGATGCTGGAATATAACAATCCTCTGTATGAATTCAGGACAGACTAACAGTTGTCAAAATAAAGAGAAAAAAAACAGGAGTGGAAAATTTAAAACACAGTGAGTCTCAAGCGATGCATAGTGATGCAATTCTCAAATAAATCACCAGAAATATTCCATTATAAAAAAATTAGAGGACTGTAAACTTTTTTGGGGGGGGGGGCTGTTTGTGTGTCTGTGTCTACGTCTGTGTCTGTGTCTGTGTGTGTAAATGACTTCAATTAGGCCTTAATATCACCATATTTTGAATCTACCTAACTATAATTACCAAATGATTAAGTGTAATGGAAGAACTCTGTATAACAAGACAATGAGAACTACTGGTTTAGGTAAAAGTTACATGTCTTTGTTCCCAATTTTGTTTTTTTTCCAAAGTTTCTTCTAGTTTCATAAAATAGTTTTGACATTTCTGCTGTGCTGTGCTGTGCTATGCTATAGAATAAGCGGTACCTCAACAGTTGTGGATGCCCCATTGCTGCAGGTTTTTTAAAGAAGAGATTGGATAGCCGTTTGTCTAAAATGGTATAGGACAATGATGGCAAATCTTTTAGAGACCGAGTGCCGCCCCGCCCCCCTGCCCACTGCGGCCCGCCCCACCCACCTGCAGGGCCACCATTACGTACATGGCCCACCGCAGCAGATTGCCCAGGTGACCCTGCAGCACCATGACAGCCACACCCTCTGCGCGTGAGGGGGTGCGAGGGCGGATTCTTGTCCCTGCTGCCCAGCTGCCATGTCCTTGGCTGCGCTGCTCCACGTGGGCAGCACCTGGGGATGACTCTCCTCTGGGGGGGCTGCTAGTGAGGAAGGGGCTGTGGGGGGAGGCGGGGCTGGGGCAACGGCGCATGTGCCCATAGAGAGGGCTCTGAGTGCCGCCTCTGGCACTCGTGCCATAGGTTCGCCACCACTGGTATAGGGTCTCCTGCTTAAGCAGGGGGTTGGACTAGAAGACCTCCAAGGTCTCTTCCAGTTCTGTTATTCTGTTATTCTGTTTCTATACTATACTACACCTTGATGTCTGAAAAGCATTTTGCAATTGTTGTATATTTTATTTTATAATGCAAAAGAGCAAAATATACATATAAAACTAATTTGGCCAGTTGGAATTTTTAGGAAAAATAAACAATTATATTTTATGCACATGAATATTTATTATGTGTATATGTGCATGCCTATATGACTGAGTGTTTATATTAGAAGACCACTATAAGTAAAGCAGAAGTTCTATCACACAACTTAAGAAGTTGCCATCATTATCAAGAATGATGATTTAGGAAGAATTTGCTAGTTTTAGAGTTGCAAGCTTGTCTTTTTCAGTAAAACAGAATGGAGTAACACTATCGTAATTCCAATAGCTCATGATATTTTTTTTAAAGAAGGGTACATAAATTACAAAAATTGTGATGCCTATTTCACAGGTGGCAAAATGTTTTGAGGTAAAAATGCTTCAAGGTCATTCTAATTTCATTAAAAATGTTCCAATGGTAAAATGGTCTGTTATGACTGTGAAAGAAATGCAAACCATTCAAATTTCCATTTCACAGGTTAGACCACTTTTAGTAATGTCAGAAGGACATTGCAACATCCTTGGTTAAGTATCAGAGCCTCATGCTTCTGGCAAGGCTACCGCTTCATGATTTGAGCTTAAAGTATGTTGAATACTTTTAATATTAATATAATCTGAAAATATATTTTTCACCTATTCCACCTTCTAGCTACTCCAATCTTTGCACATTATATAAAAATATAAATAAAATACATATATTTTGCTGTCCAGAACTATGATTGAATTACCTTTGTTTGTATGCATTATATGCTTTAATTCCAACAGAGGCTGCCTAATTGCAATCATGAAAGAGAAATAAACTAGATCTGAAAAAGCAAAAGGATGTTTAAAAGGGTCACATCCATGCATCCTTCCTTATGATGTTCTACTGAATTCAGTGATATTTACTGCTGAAAAGAACAGCTTCATGCTACAAGGCATTAGGGTAGGAAGTAAGTGAAGCAGCTGTGCATGTCCACAAAAGTAGATACAACTAAGTTCAGCTTCTGACGCAGTTCTATGAGCTTCACAAATGATGAAAATGCTTTAAATCTGCTTTCAAATTTTTAAAAAACTTTCTCCTATTGCTCTCCCTCTTAAATATTTTGCATTTGAGCTTTATATGATAATATATATTTACATGGCACATGTAATAAAATAGTCTTCCAGTGTTTTGACATTGAAAACACCTATAGTAAAGCTGGAAAAACAGTAGAGAGAAGGGAGAATAAAGTTAACCCTTTTTAAAATAGTCCATAACTCAACCCAGAACATCCTAAAACTAGTTTTTCATCAGAGCACATTAATGGTTGCCTGTATTATTTCTCTCCTAACATGGATATTAACAATCGGTTTAGGAATGTACGTGATCAGAACAAAGCCTAACTGGGAAAGTTTTAACCATCTAATTCTGTGGCTGCTTTTTAAGCAACAGAAGAACGACCACCAAAATAGAGTTATGTGCAATGCAGAACAGCATTTAGTTCTGAGATAGTCCCATACAGTAATTTTAGTCTCTTTTTTTGCATATTTGAAACATTTCCCTTTTACAGTCCTCAATCAAATAGTGAGTAGCAAGTTGGTCCAACAGATCTAACACCTGAGAATCTTTGACAATAAAGGCCTAGAGCTGACCTCAACAAATATAAGACCAAAGGAAACAAAAATCTTCAAATATATATAATATCCAGCCACTTACCAGAATGTGACGTAAATTGTAGTAAGGTGCTGTTGTAACCAAGTGTTATCAAAATGGACTCTTTTCCTACACGGCAATATTCAGTATCTTTATTAACCAAGCATTTAAATGCACACACCCCATCAACTGCAGGAAGAAAAAAAATATTTATAACAAAACCACATGAATATTTGTGTTTATTAAGAATATATAACATTCTCTATTGGAAGGTTTTTAAACTTCAGTTGATAAATACATAACCACGATTTACATAAAATTAATTAAGACAGAATAAGGCTGGAAAAATTGGATTTGCTCATTTGCCTGTTGCATAATGTTGCATACTACAAAAGTCTCTCTCTCTCTCTGTCTCTCTCTCTGTCTCTCTCTTTCTCTCTCTCACTACACACACGGAGACATGATAGTTCTCCCCAACATATAAATTTATTTATTGAATGCACAGATACAGTACTTTGATTTAGAATAGTGGTTTTCAACCTTTCTAATGCCGAGACCCCATAATACAGTTCCCCATGTTGTGGTGACCCCCAAGCACTTATACATCACCGGGTGCCAGGGGCGTGGCCAAAGAAAAGGGGGGAAAATGGTGGACAGCCTTGTTTGGCGACCCCCGTGAAATGGTCGTTCGACCCCAAATGGGGTCCCGACCCAAAGGTTGAGAACCACTGATTTAGAAGAACGTCAATGCAGTACAACATGCGTGATGTCGGACATAATTTCACTGAGGTATATATGCTGAAAAAATAACAAGATATTTGAATGAGATGCACTTTTTTCCATATTGGTTGTAAAAGCAGACAATCATATCACATTTCATGCTGTGCTTGCCATAATAAAGGAAAACAAACATCAAGCTTTTAAAAAAATGAAGTGCTACAATATGCCACTAGTGTCAGATATTCTTATCAAAAGAAAAAAAAATTAAAATACACATTACCACAACATATGCAAACATCCCTCATATGCTATGTTTCATTACATTTGATAGTGGAACTTTCTTCCTGTATTCTATAGAAATTCGTATTCTACAGAAATTCAGCTTAATCAAGATAATAACTTACATATAAATATTTAGTATAGAACTCATTACATATAAATATTTAGTATAGAATATTTATTTCTCATTACATATAAATATTTAGTATAGAACTCCTTTATTTCTAAATGAAATCACTGTAATTTCTTCCCTTTGTAAATTTTATGTAATTACAACAGCTTTAGTTTTTTATGGCAAATTATAAAAAAATGGATAAACTTAAAAATGATCACGTAAGTAAGTGCTTTTTCCTTCAGATTTGATATTTTACAATAACAGAATTATCATTTCTTGTTCTTTAATTCCTTTGATTAATCATTACTGAATCAACATGCTGCTATCACTTCTCAGGAAACAAAAAATAGAAAGCGTTTTTCATAAATCATCTAATTAAGCCTTGCAATCGAGGTGCTTCAGTGATAATTTATAGTATAATCCTCTCGTGTCTTTTCAAAAATAAGCCCCCCAGAATCTCCAGGAAAAATATTATAAAATATTCTTTGACCACATTTGTAACAGTGTTTGCTTACACAAGTACACACACAATGTTGGTGGACTAGATTCTTTGGTTCCCTTGAAAGAGTTCTTGGAATCTCCATCCAGACCCCCGTATGCACTCTGCCACACTTCTGGGGAAAACTTTTGTGCTCGTCTATCACTATCTATTTTACTACTTCAGAGAAGAAATCTGTTTTTGCACTGGTTTATTTGGGAGAAGGAAGTTGGCAGACCACTTGCTCTGTTTTTCTCTGTAGCTGTCTAAGCAGGCAAAATGATGACCATGGTCATCTGACAATGGTTGCTTGCTTGCTTGGAGACATTTCATTACTCAACTAGGTAATGTTAGTGCAAGTGAGCATGGGGTTTGCTGCCATTTATATGCAGTAGTTTGCCAATTTTGGTGAGGGTGGACTTTCTGCCTATCAGAATGAGAGGATTAAGGGGATATGATGATGGAATGATTAAGCTCCCTATCAGAATAAATGTGCTCATTTTCTAAGAAATGCAATTCTTTATTGTGTGTATTTGAGCTTTGTGCCTTGGTTACACCTTGACGTACACACATAAGTAGTCCAGGTGTAACCAAGGCACAAAGTTCAAATACAATAAAAAATTATAACATGCATCTAGCTTCAGACTTCTCTATATTGCTGCATTTTTCTTGAATTTTCCACCTAAGATGCCTGGGGATTTGGAATGTGGCTTACTTGGCTTGGAGCCAGTTTCTTCCATAAGAGAAAAGAAGAAACAAAGACAAAATGGAGGTGCTCCTTCCTCTTTCTAAAAGCTTACGTAAAAGGGGACTTTTTTCCACTCCTGATTGGCTGAATTGTGTTCGATTTTCCCATGGTTTTATTCCTTCTGCCCACTACTTACACTGCCAAGTTAGTTTTGATTGACAGATCAGATTTAGGGTCACTTTAATTCTTTCAGGTCTCAACTTTTACAATATTTACTACACTAATAAATCTTTAAAAAAGACAATTACAGTTTCCCAGTGATAAAGCTAAATGTAAGCATACATAAAACCTTAAAGCACTTATGTTAGGAGGGCTTTCCCTCCCCATGATACATATGAAAAGATGTTAGTTATTACCAATGTAATAGAATACAAATATCTGGTCACAGGGTATGTGGATGAACTTAAAATTCAAAATCATTCTTTAGGGTTCAAACTTTGCTCTGATGATAGCACTAAATATTTTTGAATGGCTTTAGTGCTAGGATAGCAGTGGGAACAGCTTGTGTCTCTTGCCAGAAGAATTATAAAAACTGGAATAAGAAAAAAGAGGAGCATTGAGAAAGGATACTTCCATCTCTCCAACAGCCTCAGAAGGCTTGTAATCTACAAGATGTAGCCCAACTTGCTTCAGAACAGTAGCAATATCTGTAAGTTGTTGGCTTGTGATATTAGCAATGGATGACTGAAAATCTTCATTGACATATTGCCATGCAATTTGGGGGGGGGGAGGGAACCCTTAGGTTGGTGAAACAATACTCCTAAGAATTTTAGGCACATTCCAACAACTCTCGGCCTACTCAGATTCCCCTAAATCAACTTGTTCAGACTGAAGAAACTGCTTGGATGGGCAGCGAAAAGTCTCAAACCAACAAATAAGTTCAGTCGCCATGACTCAACTTCCAGATAATTCAAACTGGATAACTGAGAATGACAATAGTAGCAATAGATAAAACAACCCAGAATTTGCATTGGGGTTTTTATTTCTAGGTGTGTGTGTGTTGCTTTACGGTTTACAATCTTGCTCTCTATAAATTTAAGCCTTCCCTTATACTTAAACCTATATTCATGATGTCATCATTTTAAAAAATATATTTTTAAAATGTTTTAAAATCTTCTTGTGACCAGAATTACTTTGAACTCTCTCATAATCAGCTCTAAAATTTGGGGACAGCATTCTTTATTCATAGCAGACCACCTCCATCTAGTGGCTTGTCAAAGGTTCTGTGTTTTCTTTGTGATTTTTTAATTAATTTTCACAATGCTGAATTATTATGATCTGACAATATTACACCGACAATATGCATTGCAATACCTGAAATTAAAAACAGGTTATGTACATTTCATTAACCCATGTATTAGCAATAATGGTTTCTTTCTGAATGTACTACCTCCTAAAAGAGGAGGAATGGTTGATTCTACCTTTCATTCCATGTGTGATGCAATTCTCTTAGTCTATAAATGAAAACTGAACTTTGCCCAAATTAATAATGTGTGATTCACTGCCTTCTTCAGAACAACAGCCAGCAGGAAAAATCTTCCAATTGAGATGCTACAGCAGGAAAAGGGTAGAGCTATCATCTTTAGATTTCTTCCTAGGTTCCTTTCCAGCAACCCAAACTACCATAACTCAAATGATTTTTTGGAAAAAGGGAATCACAAAGCGAAAAAATTCTCTTCCTTTTATTTGCTCTCTTTATATAGGTAACCAGTGTAGGAGGGGAGAGGGGTTTTCCCCCATCATTCCATTACTTTATTATTTCAGTACATTGACACCAAGAGGCACTACATCCATGTCTGTCCTACTGTATTAAAACTCATTAGCCATGAGTAACCAGATGTTATTCCATGGGGTTCTAACCCTCTATTGGGAATTGAACTCACTATCCTGCACACTGTACGGTGCATTAAGTTTAGGAGATAGCCAGATCCTGGTACTTAACAGTTGCAAAAGAAATATACAGATGCTACCAGAATAGTATACAGTATGATCCACCTTTTCAAAGCAGAGAAATATTTTTATTTCAACCTTTCATTAAATCAGTGAGAGCAATTGAATAAAATACCTACGATACTGCCCCAGAGCAACTATGCAATTCTAAAAGATCACTAGTAGAGCACAGTTCTTGACAGAGACCAGAACAGAATGACACCAATCAGCCTTTCAAGTTGGCAAGGTCAAGAAACAGGCATGGTAGGGATCCAGGAATCCTCTTTATTGTTAAACTAAAATAACAGAATCTTGAAAGCTATTCAGGATTTCTCTCTGCCCCATCTTATGCTGAAGAAAATCAAGGTGGGGTTATTTTGTGTTTCCTTCTCACTTTCCTCAGGACTGAGTAATCTTTTCTGGAAGTGCTACCTTAATGCAGGGCTTTTCAACCTGTGGTACATTGGCACCTGGCAGGTGGTACGCGACCATCCTAGAAAAGTGGTAGCCGGGGAGGGGAATGAGCTGAACTGGTGGCAGCACTGCACAAGCCTGAGCGAGAGATGGCTGGAGCTGCAAGGCTGTCAGGGCTCAGTGGAAGCACCAGGATCAGTGCCGCTTTCCAGCTGATCGGCGCTTCTTCGAGGCTGTCAGGGCTCAGTGGAAGCGCCAGGATCAGCGCCAGGCTCCAGCTGGAAAGCAGCACTGATCCTGGCACTTCTGCTGAGCCCAGAAGAAGCACCAATCAGCTAGAAAGTGGCACTGATCCTGGCACTTCTGCTGAGCCCAGAAGAAGCACTGATCAGCTGGAATACTGCAGCATCTCCAGGGTCTTGTGATTTACATTCAGAAGCTTGGCAACTGATTCATATTTATGACTGTCAGTGTCCCAGGGTCATCTGAAGTGACCAAAACCTGCT